GTCCTCTGTGTTACGCTTTTACAGAAGCAGGTGAAGAATACCCAAGGGAAATGGGGAAGTGAGCACCATATTTAAACAGGGGATTTCACCCATGAAAAAATACACAGGACCAGGGAACTGTGCTCAACCCCAGGAAGGGTCAAAGGAATAAAAAAAAATATGTAAAAATAATATTCCCAGTCCTGGCAGAGGTCAGTGGGCACAACCTCAAACACACTTGCCGGAAGGGGAGTAGATGGAGTTTTCTGGAGGGTGGCTTGAAGGAAAGGTTTTAAAACCTGCCACCTCTTTGACTCCGTGATGACCCTTTGAAATAACATCTACGATAAACTAACAGCAGGTACCTTGAGCCAATATGTTAGGTACAACTAAGAATTATGTGACAGGACATGACCTCACCTGAGTGTCCTGCAGTAGGGGACTCTAAGCACTGCCTAGTTGTGAGACACTTGTTGTGGGTACTGGGAACAAATGCAGGTCTTTTGGAAGAGTAGCAAGTGCTCTTAAACACTGAGCCGTGTCCCCTGCCCTTCTGCTTTCCTCTTTTAAAAAAGTATATTGAGGTAGGAGCACTTGAGCTCTTTTGTAACAAAATTTCAAGTAGACATTACTCTTGCTGGAGATACAGTGTTGCATACTTTATTCGTCTCCCATTGAAGAAACTCCGTATTCCCCCAGTTGCTGGTAACCACTACTGCATATTTTTTCATTTCATATACTTGCCTCTTTGAGATTCTGAATATAAGTGGGATTGTGCAGTATTATCTTTCAGATATTGGCCTAGTCCATTTAGCAAGATATCCTCAAGCATATTAACAGTTTCCTTCATGGGTATGTGTGCGCGTGCACCTGTGTTCATCCTCACCTGAAAGCCAGGGATCACCAGTACCAGGCACCTTTCCCTACTGCTCTCCACCCTAGTTTCTGAGACAGCTTCTCTCCCTGATTCTAGAACTTGCTAGAATAGCTGACCTCTAAGAACCACCTGTCTGTGGCCTTCCCTCATCACCCACCCCCCACCCCCCACCCCCCACCCCCCAACCCCCCTACCCCGCCACCAGTAAAGTTACCTCCCAGCGCTTTTGAGAACACTGGGCACTGGGACTCTGAACTCAGCTGGTCACGCTGACACTTTATCTACAGAACCATCTCATACTGAGTTGCACCAATAGCATGCCGTGTGCGCACACACTTTGTTTCCTTTATCTGTTCATCCCCAGGCTAGTGAACTGGGAACCGCTCTGTTGTGTTTGTGGGTTCTCTGTTTCTATTCAGATCCTGGCTAGTACTCTTGGATAAATACCTGGGTTCTTATCCAGATTGCAGGGTCATGTGCTACTTCTATATTTTGCCTTTTGTCTCTCTCTCTCTGTATACTCCCAGAACACATGTTACCTTTTACAATAATTTTGTTTTAGAAGTGAAAGAAGTCGAGGGTTTCATTAGGGGGGTTGGGGGAGCAGAGGAGTGTGCGTGACCTTGCACCTGTGACTTTTGGAGCTGTGGTGTCCTGCTCTCTAGTCCTGGGGCCCTGGAGGAAGGAATGGGGCTGGCGGCTGATCCCCAGCAGTGCATTGTTGCAAAACAAAGTGGCCAGGGCAGCGTGGGCGGAATCTGGGAGGCCTGGCACACATTCTTGCAGCATACGGCTGGCTTACAATAACAATGAAGAACAAAGTCTGCAAACTGAGCGATTGCATCATCAGCTACCGAAAGAGCCCGAGAGGAAATCTAGTGGTGGCCTGAAGCTGGTCCTTCCGTGAAGGTCACAGAGAGCTGTGACCTTAGCAGGACACTCAGGAAAGCCGTACAGACAGCTCACCACATTGCCTGGAGGAACCAAATTGTTATTTGAGTTTATTGTGTTTCCACAAAAGTTATTTTTCCCTATAAGAGATCCCCCCCCCCCCATGGAGAATCCTGCAGACCTCTAGGATGTCAGTCCTTGAGCTGCCTGGCTTACTCAAACTGCACACCTCCCAACCTCCTAAGTAAGCGAGGTGAAAAATCAACAACCAACAGCAGCTTAGATGGTGTTGGAATTCAAACCCTCGGACGTTAATGCCTTCAGCAATCAGGGCTTGGAACCTCTAGGACAGTAATTGTAACCCACCTGTTCAGCATATATTGCATTGCCCAAAGCAGGTGGGGACGGGGGAGGCCAAGACCCTTCTAGTAGGGCAGTGCCTGGTTTCCCCATCCCCGTGGCCTGCAGAACCGAGGGTTGAACTCGGGAGCCAAGTGCACTCCATCACTGAGCCACTCCTCAAGGAGATGTGGAGAGCTGCTCTGCATAGACCGGGCAGTTATCCGTATACGCTGTCCACCTAATGGGCTTTCCCTGCTGGCCCCTGCCAACGCTGAATAGGGCCAGAGAAGGAAGTGGAGCCTGAAATCCATAATTCACGATAACCAGGACAAGGAGGCTGGGGAGGAAATGTCGACAAAGACAAGTCCCATTTGTCCAACTGCTGCTCATTGACGCGTGTTCACATGGACGTCTCAGGCAGTAAATGATTTAGACCATCCCCACAACCTGAATGCAACTCCCATGCTCTTGATCCCCTAAAGAAATGCACCAGAGAAACTGACAAGGGACAGAGGGGACAAGCAGAGTGCAGCTCTGACAGACAGAAGGTTTGCAAAAGGGATGCACCAGAGAGCTATAGCACTTGTGCCTGGCCGCGGAGGGAGGCAGACTCCTACAAGCCTGAAAGACTGTCCAGGGTATGTGCACGCTTTGGCTGGATGCAGTTGGGGGCCCTGGGCCCTGCTCCTAAGCCCTACCGAATCTTGTCCTCTAAGCACGTACCTCTCCTGGGCTGCCTCTCTTGAGCCAGCAATGCTGCAAGAACCCGGCCCCTACTCCCACTCCCCACCTCTCCTCCAGATCCAAAGGAGCTGTGGCCTGATGCTGCCCAGCCAGGGAAGATCTGAAGAAGTCACCAGGCACCTGGCACCAGGTGTGGCCTCTGGTCTCACCTTTATGCTACTCCCCAAGAGGCAGGGGTGGGTAATGTCAACTCATCCGATGCTCGCCCTCACCCCTGTCAAGGTCTATAAAATCTGCTCTGCAAGCTTCCAATGTGGGGAGGCCAAATCTGAGGGTGTCTGGAGGTGCCTGCTGCTATTCCGTGTCTCCGATGACTGGGGTCAGAGGGCGGAGCTGATGCCATGCCCGGGAACAGAAGACACTCTCAAAACAGTGGCGTTGGGTGCAGGCCTTTAAGAGCTCATGAAGAGAGGCGTATGGTGAATCACATTTCAGCCCTCACAATGGCGGTCGGTTTAACGGCACATGGGACACTTTTCTCTTAAGCTGATCTTAACGTTTTTAATTTTTGCTCCATTTTCAAAGAATTAGTTTTAGCATGATTGTGAGAATCCGCAATATACCCGTTAATATTTTCATTAGACATTATTCAATGACTCAGTTCAAAAGCTTTTATCATCTGGGGCCTCATGGTGTATGATGGGCGATCATCACTGTCTGTTTGACTGAGTTTAGAATCACCTAGAAGACACACTTCTGGGCGGTTCTGTGAGGATGTTTCCAGTGGATCCAGCTAAGGAAGGAATCTCTACCTGAACACAGTTACACCATTCCACAGACTGGGGTCCCATGCTGAATAAATGGGGGGATGGAAGAAGCCAGCTGAATACCAATGTTCCTCTCTCTCCTTTCTCTGCTTATGACTGTGGATATGATGTGACTTCTAACCTCATGTTCCTGTCACCTGGCCTCCCCTGCTATGATGGGCTGTACCCTCAAACCATGAACCAAGATCAACTCTCCCTAAATTTTTGTTGTTGTTGTTTTGGTTTTTTGAGACAGGGTTTCTATGTATTGCTTTGGAGGCTGTCCTGGAACTCACTCTTGTAGACCAGGCTGGCCTCGAACTCACAGAGATCCGCCTGCCTCTGCCTCCCGAGTGCTGGGATTAAAGGCGTACGCCACCAACGCCCGACCCTAAAGAGTTTTTAAAGAAGGTATTTGGTCACAGAAATTATGAACAGTAACTAATGCATGATACACAGAAATAATATTTGCAGAAAAGAAATATTACAGTTAGTGTAAACACATCCAAGTGAGAGTTATATTACATGGGAACTTTGCTGAAGAAATAAACGGAAATGAGAACTAAAAGCAAAGAAAGAATTTGCACAGATTTGTGACCCCATGCAAACATCATGCCAATGCACTTTCAAAGCAGATAATGTATTATTGCACATATTGGATAATGGCAGATGCTGGATTGAAGACGGATGAAATCATGGAGGGCTGATCAGGCCAGACTCCATTTGTGGAGCACCAGAAATGGTGGGAGGGTCTGCTTGCAGGAAACAGAAGAAGAGGTTTAGTCGAAAAACTCCATGAAGTCTCCCCTCTGCCCCCCCCCCAATAGTATGCTATGATTCATGCTGTGAGCTGTCCCATTTCAGGGACAGTTAACGATAAAGATGAAATGAGGCCAGAATTATTATATTCAATGTGCCAGGCACTCCAAGCATGTCATCTCATTTAATGTTGTAGTAACCCCCAGGGGACAGCTGTTCTCTTTTGCATACTGTAGATGAAGTCACCAAGGCTTATAAGTGACTATCCCACAGTCACAGGACCGGAAGGGTGCAGAGCCATTTGCACCATCCGGTGCTAAAACCCATGCTCCCCTCATGGCCCCACACTGCCTCTTCCGTGAGCACAGCACAGTCTCGGCGTCTCTGTCCCCACGCTACAGAGGAACGGGTGTTCTAGAACCTTCCACCCACACTGGTGGAGAACATAAATAGCAACCGAGGATGATGGTGCGTGTGTTCACAGGGAGCTGTGTCACTTATTGAATCCAGGAAGAATGTTCAGAACCACGCAAGAAATAATGAGCCTACCAGGGAGATGTGTGTGGAGAACTCAACTCTGGACTCAGGAGATGGGGCATTGGGGATGCTAGGTTCTGGACTTTGGTGGCTTCCCTAAAGAGGCTTCTGTGTTTATTTCCTAGGTTGTGGTGATACCTTTTTTGTACAAATAAAAGCTGTCTGGGGGTCAGAGGATGGAGCCTGCCACTAGCTAACCATAGAGGTCTGGAGGTCTGCACAGACAGACAGAAACAGGATATAAGCAGGGACAAACAGGAAATCGCTCTCTTCTCTGCTGAGACACTAAGGAGGTAAGGTGTGCTGTGGCTTGCTCCTTCTCTCTGATCTGTCAGCATTTCCTTCTGTATCTGACTCTGGCCTTTTATTATTTAGACTAAGAACTTTTACACTAAGGGCTGCCTCAGCTTAGTACTATAAACAGAAATTTTGATCTTCTCACAGTTCTAGAGACTGAAAGTTCTGAGTCCGGTTGTAGGAAGCTACAGTCTCTCTGTGGTTCTGGGTCAAATCCTTCCTCACTGTCTCTCAGGTTTCTGATGGTGGCTGGCATCTTTGGTACCCTGTGGCCGTGCCTTTGTATCCTGTATGGTGTTCTCTTTATGTTGGATGTCTGTGTCCATATTTCCATTGTGACTGGGACCCATACTCACTGTGACCTCATCATAACTCAGTGACATCTGCAAAAACTTCATTTCTTGGCAAGATTGCTTTGCACAGGTACTATCAATGAAGGCTTCAGTCACACGTTTCAGGAAGACACAGCGTCCTCCACGACCTAAGACTTAGGTAAAAACATTACCTCATGCGGCCTCAGGGTTCTCAGTATAGCTGACACAAGGTTTTTTGGCAGTGGTCCCTGAACAAGTTCTGAAGTTCTGGTCCTGAGAGTGTCGGGGGGGGGCTCTCCTCCATTGGTGACTCCCAGTTCTGGAAACATCTGAGCAGTGCTTTTGCTGAGAGGAGTTGAGTGTTTGAGAAAAGTGTCGAGTAACGTTCCTGCCTTCTGGCTTTCCCCTGCCGTCTGTCATCCTCGTCCTGACTCTCTTATCACCGCTGTGAGCTGGACTCTAACTGCCATCGTGATCTGGCAGCCTAGAGGGGTGTGAACTTACATGTGAAGCCCAGCTCCGTCGCTCACAAGCTACCTGACCTGGGAAGTGTTCACTCAGACCTTTTGAAGCTTCCCTCTGCCTTGTCTGCAAGACAGAACCATCTCTCCTTACTCAGATTTGTGTGTGTGTGTATGTGTGTAACTGACATGCAGTAATCCATGGAGAGAGAGCACACGCCAGCAACGTTTAGCCCGTGACTACTTCCACCTTCCCTGTCCTTACTACAAAGCGCACACCAGGGAGTAGGGGCCCGCGAATAGGAGCCCTCCCAGAAGGGCCTCCAGTAGCGTGCCTGAGTGTGAGAAAATAGATTGCAACCTCTTTTTTCCATCTTGAGGATAAACGGGATAGGAATGGAGACACAGGGAGAACAGCATAGTAAGGGTAAGTGCAGTAAGACAGAGTCTCCATCCAAGGGCGTCCCTGGGGGACCAAGACTTATCAGAGAGATGCCCAGAACAGTGGGCGTCCCTGTCCATTTAATGGGGCGTCCAACGGCATACCAGTATGGTTTCTGTTGAGAGAGAGAGAGAGAGAGAGAGAGAGAGAGAGAGAGAGAGAGAGAGAGAGAGAGAGAGAGAGAGAGAGAGAGAGAGAGAGAGAGAGAGAGAGAGAGAGAGAGAGGAGAGAGAGAGACTGGGCAGACCCCTGTAAGAGAAAGACGCTGACCCAAGTAGGCAAGGAGAGATGAGTTGATGTAGAAGGTAGAGAAATGAAGATGAGCTCTAAATTTGGAGCTCAATACATCAGGCAGAAGAAACCAGCAGAGGCAATGATCCATGCCCAGGAGGGCACACACAACAGAGCTTCCCAACGGGCTCATAAACTCCATCACACGGGCATAAAGGACCTAAGTAAATCAAAGTCCTTGGTCTTAAGACACACCCGGTCTTCTATGAAGAACTTCATGGACATTATTAATCTTCTACCACAATGTAAAAGGACAGTAAAGGAGATAGCCGTCACCTTATTTCTTTCGTTGGCTTATAAAAATACAAATTCTGCTTAGGCCTCTAAGTATTTCAAGTGTAAATGTCGGGCCTTGATTTTTGCCTAGTGCAAACAGACTCCCTACTGGGAGAGGTAGACTCATAAAAAGGTTTCAGCAAAAAAAAAAAAGGAAAAGCAAAGCCAAAACACCCACATTGTTATCAAAAGTTGCTCTTTATTCTTCCTAAGAGCTTGCTTTGGCAGTGACTACTGTCAGTAGCCTAGCACTATGTCTCATGATGTTTGGAAACAAACAAGAAGGTCACATGGATGTTTAAAAAGAAAGGAATTGTATATATATATATATATATATATATATATATATATATATATAAAGATTTATATGTGAAAGCTAAATGGTTGGATATGATTGCATGCGGGTAAAAGAAATGAAATGTTTAAGTAAGTTGTGATGAAGGTTAAGATGATGGGTCATTCCCAGATGGAAAGGGGAGGAAAAGGTTTATGCAAGTTGTGGTGGTTTGAAAGAAAATGGACCCCAAAAAGAATTGGCACCAATGGGAGGCGTGGCGGCCTTGTTGGAGGAAGTGTGTCACTGTGGAGGCGGGCTTTGAGGTCCCCTATGCTCAAGCCACACCCAGTGAGACAGACCACTTCCTGTTGCCTGTGTGACAAGACATAGGACACGTCTCCAGCACCATGCCTCCCTGCAGGCCACCACAATGATAGTAGACTAAGCCTCTGAACTGTAAGCTGCCCACTCCAATTAAATGTTTTCCTTTATAAGAGTTGCCATGGCTAGGATAGTGGGTGGCGCACGCCTTTAATCCCAGCACTTGGGAGGCAGAGGCAGGCGGATCTCTGTGAGTTTGATGCCAGCCTGGTCTACAGAGCCAGTTCCAGGACAGCCTCCAAAGCCACAGAGAAACACTGTCTCGAAAAACCAAAGGGGGGAAAAACAGAGTGTAGGGAAGGGATGGAGAGGAAGGGATAAGGAGTAAACGGAAATTCCAACAGAAACAGTCAGAGCTCCTGGAATGTCTCTCCCGGGGATCTCAGACTTCCCAGTGGCACAAGATGTAGCAGACATATCCGGACCTGGAGGGTGTTAGAACCACCGATGAGGACAGCAGTCCAACCTTACCCTTCTACAAAAGCAGTCGCCTACCCAAGGCTAATCTCCACTGATCCTAAGTGACATACATACCTCTGAGTACATCTGTGACCGTGCTTCCAAGGAGATTTAACCGTGGAGGGAAAGAACCATCCTGAATGTGGACGCCAAGGTTCCCTGGACTGGGGACCTGACTGAACAAAAAGAGGAAGGACAGTTACACAGCAACATCCATCCCTCCCTGCTTTCTGACTGGATACAATGTGACCAGCTCCTGCATGCTCCTGCCCACAGCTGAGAGCCAGCCTTCATCTCTCTCTGCTTTCTGACTATGGATACACTGTGACCAGCTACCCCATGCTCCTGCCCCACAGCTAAAGAAGCTCTGACCACCATGCCTCCCCTCCACGATGGAGTACAGCCTCAAAATGGGATCCCAAATAAATTCTTCCTTGCTTGAGTGATTTGTGTCAGACATTTTGCCACAGCAATAAGGAAAGTAACCAACACACTCACCAAGCAAAGGTCAGGATGAGGGCTAGAAGTCTTACAGCACCACTAGACACCAGGCAGGTCACAATTATCCGTGCTCATCATGAGTTAGTTACTCCTCCAATCATGTGCTGTGACTTACCGCATCCTGGAAGGTCTCCGCGATAAAGGAGAAGGGCACAGTTGTCAGTGTCACTCTCTAGAATTGGTCTAGTCCTGGGTGTGTCCAGGGCTTGTGTGTTTGGTGTGGAAAGAGGAAACTGGTATCATGTTAGTATGTCAGGGGATGGGGGACCTTTTGGACCCCTCCAAAGAGCACATTCTCTTTAAACCCTCTTTAATCTCAAACAGAAGTTGAATATTATTCTTTTCCTCTCAACCATATGGGAAGTTTACGAGGTTCAGGGTCCCCACTTGGTTTGGGGAAACTGTACAGTGTAAAAAAAAAATCAGGTACCTTCAAAAGAATATTACCATGACAGCGGCTGTCTTAAATGCTTCCAGTCAGACTCCAGCGGAGGCTTTGCCCTTTTGGCTTTTGGGGTTCTCTCTCCTAACCTGATGTCATTTTCACTGCCTCTAGGACTCAGCATATTGCTTCTTACATGACTCAGAAAGAATTTCCAAGTCAAACAAGGGAGAGGGTGTACTGTCCTTCCAACTGATGTTTTTCTGACCCCTGCAGAGTGCCCTGGGGGGCCCTGGTGGAGCTGTCAATGACACAGAGCAGATGTGCATGGAGGAGTCGGAGAAAGCCAGTAACACTGATCATCGCCGGTGGCTTCTGAAACAGTAAGCAAGGGTGACGTGTGTGTGTGTGTGTGTGTGTGTGTATGTGTATACATGTGTAGTCATGCACGTGTGTGCATTCGCATTTGCTTTTCCTATAACTTGAGTTAGCAAGAAAATTGTGAGCTGTCACAGTCGTCCAGCATAGAAGGCGGCCTACATGCCGGTGCTGCGTTCTGCAAGCCCATGAGCCTCCTTCATCAGTGAGCTGCCTGGAAAGGCTGTGATGTTTCACCTTCCTCTTCAGAGTGAGGTCTCCCAGTTGCCTAGGTGCCGTGGCAGTCACTAAAGGGTAGGGAGGATGATGATACCCCTCTAGCTCTGGGTGCCTGGAGAGGTGAGATCTGCATTGCAGTGGCCATTTCTTCTCCAGGTGTTTCTAGGCAAGCGCAGAGCTTGGCTCCCAGCCTTCCAGGTTTGGCATGAAATACAGGAGGCTGCAAAGGATCCTGGACCTTAGGCGTGTCCTCTTACAGTCTTCCTTGTTCCTGGGATGCAGGGCGAAGAGGAGGCTGACTAAAGATCTCTCTCACCCTCTCTCAATCGAAAAGACAGTAGTGTAAGCAAACTCGGTAAAATTTGATGATCCGTGCCTCTTTTTTAGCCAGCACCTCCTGCTGCTGCTTCATGTCAGCTGATGTTTATGGGGCACCTGTTACAGGTTAGGCGTGCGTCAAGTGCTTTCATATGTATCATCTCACATGGTCCCTGTGACAGCACCGGAGGGAAAGATTGATACCCATTTTACCAGGGTGTGGAGATCTTGAAGGCTAGAAATGAAAATGGAACACTACCAGCCCTTGAGGATGGACAGAACTGGGCTCAAGCCCCTGCCTCATCTTCTCCTGGCTGTGGAACACAGGCAAATCACTCAACTCCAGAGCCTCAGGGGCCTGATTGGAAAAACAGGGATTATCTTATTAGGATGGATAACACACATGCAGTTAGCATGCCGCCCGGCACACGGCAGACAGCCAGCAAACAACGAGGACTCTTGGAAAGCTTCTTCTGGTGATGTGTGCATAAAACTGAGGGAGCAGGTGGGTGTGGTCAAGACAGGAAGGCTATGGGTCTTATCTTACCTTATCAGGAGAGGGGATGTATGATGAGGACAGAAACACAAATCAATAAAATGGTACAGGAATCCGTAAATACAGCCCCTAGAAATCGGAGCTTAGTTTTTGATAGAGGAGGCATTATCAATTACAGGGGAACTTGTGAACCATCAAGTAAGAATGCCCATTTCCTACGTGGAAAAGCTTAGGAGTCTCTACTTCACACTAAAAATAAACTCAGCTGGCTTAAGGACCTAAATGTGCAGCAGTGTTTTTAATGACATGGAGATAAGAAAGGATTTATCAGAGGGCATTAAAATCAGAAATCATAAACAAAATGTTAAAATATAAAACCAGAAAATAAAGTAACCAGTATATCATAAAAATTTATGTTCAAGATATTTAAAGTTCCCTAAGTCAACTTTTTAAAAGGATAAAGAGCCTAATAGGAAAAAACCTATAAAGCCAGTGATTCACACAAGAATATTAAATGTCCAAGAATCACACCAAGAGAGCCTGGGCCTTACCAACAAGCCAGGGTTAAACAAGTGAATTGGTTTGCACATTTTTTAACTTGGTAAAAATAGAAAATGATGTAGGGAAACAGGAATTTGACCACGAGGTAAAGGCATTCTGAAGAACAACTTTTGGAAGAATCTAATAAAACTGTAAATTACATACTCAGTGACTGAACTCTCCATTTCTGGGATATTCTAGAGAAATTCTCAAATGAGTCTTATAGGTATTGCTTGTAGAAAACAATAATAAATGAATGGATGGATAGATAGATAGATAGATAGATAGATAGATAGATAGATAGATAGATAGATAGATAGATCCACCAAATCCCCGTGATAGAACTAACAGACCAGGGTGGTCCATATGACGGGATGCTGTGTCGTCACTGGAATGCACGGATCCACTCTGCATGTGTCAACACAGCCAGACCTTAACCAGCCAATGCTGAATGAGAGCAGCAAGTGACAGAATAATGTGTACAGGGTGGCACTATTCTTCACACAATTAGACAAAAAAAAAAAAGCAGGGTTACACATTACCAACATATATGTGTTATGAAAATACATAACCCAGGACACATAGAGTCCATTGTACTTACTCTAAAGATGGGGAGGAATGGGGTGGGTGCAGAGACACAGCGAAAAGTTTCTGCACCCCCGTAAGCCTCTCCGCTGACGCGGCAACCCATATCAGACCAAATCAAAGTGAACTAGAAAAAGCCCAGGTTTGATGGATAAAAACACTCCTGGATGATTTCCCAGCACCCCAGAGAGGAGACAGAAAAGTGTCTGATTTCTAGGGTGGGGGCAATTTAAATACCCTGTGGGAGTGGCCTTGAGCATCCCTGGGGGAGCAGCCCTGTTTGGTGGGCTTTCTGAGATGGGGCAGGGTTTGAGGCGGGATGGGGAAGGGGTACTGAGGTGGAACTCCCACCAGAGCATTCCAGACTCGTTGGGTACATGGGCGCCAGGAGCCTCGGTGAAGCTTCCATCAGAACACAGGGGCGTCTTGGCTCTGTGATGTTTTGGTTCTTCTTTAACAAGTTTGAAGTAAGCCTTCGCTAACTTGAAATGGCAGGCGTAGGAATTCTCCGTGTGTTTCGTTGTCTTGTTTTCTCCTTTGAAAAGCGGTGTGTGTGGAGAGAGGACTCAGCCCTCTTGCTGAGGGCTTGGGGCTCAGCTAGGAGCACTCACACGATGGCTCACAACCGTCTGTAACTCAGGTTCCAGGTTTTGGGGTTTTGGTTTGGGTAGGACGTCCTCTTCCGACTTCCCGTGGTCAGGGCACACACCTGGTGCACACACTACAAAATGCAGGCAGAATTCTCATACAAGCAAAAATACATTTTAAAAAGTTCTAAAGAAAAGCTGGGGCTACTCTTATCCCGCGTTACGCCGTTCTTCCGGAACCTGCTTCTTGCCAGCTTTTCAGGGAAGTCTCCCCTAATCACAGAAGTAGCGTTTTGGGGGGGTGCTTCGGGGCCCATCCTGTCTCTGTCTCTTCCTGCGGCTCAGTGGCTTTATCAAGGCATCTAGACACTATCTACAGTCCTTCTAGAACGTCCAGCGAACACAGTGTGCAGAGCGAAGCAACCACTCAGACGCTGGAGGACCATCCCCTGGGTGTGGCCATAACGGGGAAACAGGATTCACCCAGGAAGGCTCAAAAGACTGCTTTCCTAAGGATGGCGGGAGACGGAGGGCCTGGCGCAAGGAAGCATAAAGTTACGCTGTAAGCCGTAAGGCCGGACAGGAGGAGGGAAAGGCCGGCTACGGATCAGCAAGAACGAAAAGTTTAGAGAAAGAGGCGCGCGGCGCGCACGGTGGCAAACGGGAGTCCCACCAGGCCTCAGCTCAAGATCGGGGATCTCACCAGAGAGGTGAAGGAAAATGACCTTCCCAGCCTCAAGCCTCTTCCTGCGTGCTTCCCGTTGGCTGAACTAGCGGGAAAGCCAGAAACTTGGCATCATGGGATGTGTAGGCCACAGACTCAAGCCACCAGGCCAAGGGCAGGGAATGTCTCTGGCATGGGGACCGGGACAGGGGATAAGCAGACAGATAATTGAAGGGATTAGAGGGATCTAAGACATGATGTTAGGAAGCAAGAGCTGCACTGGTTTGTTAGGAGGAAGAAGAAGAAGAGGAGGAGGAGGAGGAGGAGGAGGAGGAGGAGGAGGAGGAAGAGGAGAGGAGGAGGAGGAGGAGGAAGGGGAAGAGGAAGGATGGAGTCACAAAGAGGTTCACTGCTGAAGGAAATGAAAACCAAAGGGGGTAAATTTGGAATCTGGGTTCTTGCTGAGACTCTTGAGTAAGAGACCGCCCCACCCACAGTAAATGGCTGAAAACTCCCATGTGTTTTGGAACTCCGCTTCCAAATGGGAGTCGTGGGTAGCCATGATTTCGGAGAGTACAGATGTGGGAATGGAACGAGCCCCGGGAAGGCAAGCCCTGTGGGTGAGACTTCGCATCTGCAGGATCCTACCGCCAAGACCACCCTTCAGCCTGAGGCTGCCTGGGACCCCACAGGGAGCAGCCGTCTGTGCCCCTAACCAGGCTCCAGGCTGTCTGGAGATGCCTCTGGGCTGGCAAGAGATACCTCAGGGACCCCCAGGCTGCCTGCCTCCCTTGTCCCGTGGCTCTCAGGCAGACAAAAGCAATCATTAAGATTTCTTTCAGCTCCATACACACACACTCTGCAAGAGAGAGGGAGACAGAGAGAGAGAGAGAGAGAGAGAGAGAGAGAGAGAGAGAGAGAGAGAGAGAGAGAGAGAGAGAGAGAGAGAGGAGAGAGAGGAGAGGGATGTAGGGAGGAGAGAGAGATGAATGGCAGATCAGCCCAGGAGTCCTGGCCCCTTACTCCTTTCTGACAGTCTACACTTTTCTAGTATCTAATGGGGTATGTAAATTTAGAGTTTCCCTAGGTTAGCCCAGGGCTGAGGCTAGGAAGGGAGGAATTCAGACTCTCTTTTGGCCAGGACACTTAAGTCGTGACCCTTAACCTAAGATGCTCAGATGTCGGCAGTGGGGTCCTCAGGTGAACTTCAGAACGTTGCCCCCCTGAGACTTGTTCAGCTCTGCTCTTTCAAGTCTAGGCTCTTCCTCCCAGAGGTGAGGACGAGCCCCTTGAAGGCAGACGTGCTCCTGGGGTAAACCCAGTAGGGGGGAGGGAGAGGTCGTGCTAGAACCAGGGTCCCTACCTCCTTAGCCAATGTTCTCTCCACTCCAGGGGCACGACAGTCCGTCATTCCGCCGAGTGGCTTCTGTTATGTGTGTTTCCACCAGGTGAAAGGCGTGGCCTCCCGGCTCTCCCGACGGCCAGCTCCTCCACCACACACAGATGGGCTCATCCTGGCACTGAGCTGGATGCCATGAAAAATCTCTCAACTTGATTTTTTAATAGGAAAATGTAGGCTGCCAAGTTGGGCTCCCCAGGGGACATTTTAGCTGTGTGACTCATGGGTATTTAGAAATTCTGCTCCATTTAAGGGTGTTCTATTTACGAGCATGTGTAGGTTTTTAAGAGTCTTGGAGTTGTTTGTGATGAGGGTGGGTTATATATTATGAATGCATGTGTCTCTCTTGGACTGTAAACAAAATTGTGTGTGTGTGTGAGAGAGAGAGAGAGAGAGAGAGAGAGAAGGGCACACACAGAGAATATTACTACTAAAGAGTGGCCATGTAGGATCTTTCTAGAAAATGATAGCTAACTTTGGTCAGATCATTTTCTGCAAGTAGAATTTGATGCATGGAGCATCCATCATCCTCCCTGTTTGCTGAGGCACCTAGCTGAGGGAGCAGACTCGGGGGGTGACGTCAGCTAGAAATAAGGAAGCCGCATCTTTGTGATGGAGCAATGATGACTCAGGTCTTAGCGGTGCACTTCCGTCCCCGCTGAATTTCCAGGTGGAGAGTAATTCGTTCCCCGGATCTAGGCAAAGGACATTGGCGGCCACTTCTTCCCCCATGCAGACCTCCTGCAGGACAGCTGGGGTGTGGGTGAATGCAGACTCGACCGCAGAGAGGAAAAAGCGCCCCAATGTGCCCTCCACCATTTTGGATCTCTGAAAGAACGTCATCCGTCCTGGCCTCTGTGGGAGGGAGCGTGTAGCTACGAAGGGAAGACCAGCAGGGTGGCCACAGCCCACCTAGCTCAGCTTTGAGACACACGGGACACCATCAACCACCCAGGTGCTCCCGGGGGAAAAGGGCCCATTCTCTGCTTGCAAGCTTCCAACAAGTCCTGTCCGTGCTACACGAACCCTGACGCTGGAGCTACACTGAAGCCATGAAGCCCATGAAGTCTTCCGTTACCTCCCTCTCCCCGCTAAGCTGTCTGCACCCAAATTTGTCTTTGTTCTTGCAGGGTCTGGATCCCTTTGCACCAGCCTCTCTACGCTCTTCTGAGAATGCTGTTCCCCGAGCCAATCTGCCTTCCTCCCATGGGGAAGGTATCCTTTGGCACAGTCCTCCCCAGAGGGACATTTGCCACCTGGAATTCCAACTGAAGCGATCCCACCGGGAGCTTATTGCAGCGTCTGAAAAGCAGGTCCCGGCTTGGCTTCCGGAATACAAAGGCTGGCAAGCAAGGACTGAGCTGAGATCGCCACACCCTTGGGACCGGCTTGGGTTCGAAACGCTCAGCGACCTGAGCCAGGAAGGAAGAGAACTCGCCTGTGGTCCCTGAGTCCTAGAACCACAACGCCACGTTCTGAAGGCTGAACCCCACAGCTCCCGGCAAGCCACATCCGGCCAGCGGAACAGCTCCAGGTCAAGGCCTCTTCTACAAGCCAGCGTGACCTTCCAACGCTTCCCATGTCCCCACACGACGTGTGCCTTGTGCACAGGTGGGCTGCTCTGTCCCCATCCCCACAGCGAGCTGGAGGTGGTAACCCAAGTCGATCCTCAAGTCCGTTCACCGCCGCCGTCTCCACAACCATCTTTGCTGTACCGTTTACCTCACGGCAGACACAGATCCGCCTTTTCCATTAGCTGGTTCCATACTCTCAACAATACTGTGAGGAAGCCCAGAGGTGATGCAGCTGTCCACGCCCACGAGCTAGGGAAAGGAAGACAGCCTCCCACCAGAGCCCATTCCCTCGGCCACGCATCGCAGGGACGCGAGGGCCATGCGTAGTTTTTAAAGGACAGCTGTGTCCACGGGTCTGCAGTCACGTCTTCACACTATGAGAGAGGAGCAGGGGCCTAGATCAGAGGATGAGCGGGCCTCACACCGCTGGGAAGTGGCCCTCCCGCCACCCAGAGCGTTGGCTGTCTCTGAACACTCAGAGTTAGACCTCTGAGTCAATCCGCTGTGACCGGGAAAGGGTATCCAGCTAGTGCCACCAGTTAAGCACACCGGTTGTCTGCCCCCTTGGCCGTTTTCCCGTGTCCACGTGGGTGTGACCTACTAGGCCACGCCGTCAGAATGACAAGGCCCATCTGTGGTCCCGCTCTGGCTCACTGTCTGCAGAGCCTGGGTGCTCTGGCTATGAAGCATTATGAGAGTGAGCGGAGTGTGGCGAGCCTCTCCGGGAAATGCTTTAGAAATCACTGGTCTCTATTTAGTTAAGTATTTTTACATAAACATCCAGAACACGCATTCGCGTATCCTGTTATGGTTTGGATTTGAAGGGCTCCCCTCCCCGGCTTGTGTTTTGAGGTGCCCTCCCCCCCAGATGGCAGGACTATTTTGAAGGGGCTGTAGAATAACTATGAGGCTGCCTGAAGTAGGCCGCTAACGGCAGGCCTTTCTTGGTTGTTTTTAGCCCCTGGTTCTGGGCCATTGTCTCTCTCTGCTGCTGTCTGGTTCGCCGTGTTAAAGAGCTTCCGCCAGGGTTTCCACTCCCGAGGACTCTTACGGCGCCTCCCCCCCCCCCCACCAAGGTTGGCTGAAATCCCTTTGATATTGTGGGCCAAAATACAACTTTTCCTCCTTTAAGTGATTTATTTCAGATCTTTTGGTCACATCAACACAAAAGTGTGACTGTTAACAGTACATACATAGCTTTGGCCAGCTGGCCCCGTGTACCAAAACCATCTGGTCGCTAGAAGGCTCGTGAACCGTGAACCTTGACTACTCTACCCTGGTGTTCAGCGAAAGAGAGACCATGCCTTCATGACCCGGAAAAATGGCTGCACCACATAACATGAAGGCAACGGAACTCTCTGTGAGCAGGGGCTTTCGGGGAAGGAAGACCCTCCCTTACAATGCAATAGGCCCTCTGGGTAACATTTGACAACAGACACACCGTTCACAGGCCAAACTGCGAGTAATAAGTCATTGATCCCCAAGTGCCGTTTGAGCTGTGTGACAGGAGCAGGACCAGGCTTGGGGACACAACTAGGAAGGTTCCCACCTTTGTGTCTGCTATTTAGAGGGGTCGGTGGCCAGCTGTGCAAATGAATGTGCGTGCGCGCGCTGCGGTCCAGCTGAGGGGTGGTGGTTCTGCCTTTCCTGTTTTTCTGGAGGCGGTACACTTCCCTCCCGATGATGCTTATCTTCAACCCCTTTCTCAGAATGCCTTGCCCGTTAACTCTCTAACAGTATCCCATTCAGTGCCAAGTAGCTTGTCTCGGTGGATTCCTGAAACAGGCCAGACCCTGAGCCAAGAAAGACAGGATGCCTCAAATACAAAGCCAAAGGATTTCTGAGAATCCTTTAGTGGCTCTCCCCTGCCCTCGGGGTAAAGAACAAATCCCCTCTGCATCTGTTGTTTTGGACAGCCGGCTTCTGTCCTTACTCCCCTCTTTAAAGGCCAAGCCAAAAAAAAAATTTTTTTTTAGCAGTGGAGTGGACCCCTGGAGAACTGGGATGTCGGCCTGAACCAGGGGAAGAGCTCCCCCTGCTGGTGGGCAGGTGCATAGCTCTTTAGTCATTATGGCTCTTGCACCTTGTAGGTGTGTTTATGAAGATTTTCGGGGTTAAATCAAATTACGCGTGGGAGTGGTCTTGGAGTTTGTACTTCTAGAAGGAAATCCGTGACATTTTTCCCATGACACAAGAAAGCCTTTTGCAACAGGGAAATGGTCACCTGCCCCTTATCTCCTTCTGTCTCCAAGATTATGAATCAGGGCGCTGTGCTGAAGGGGTTCTCCAGGGGACGCTGCTCATGTCAAGGGCCCTGTGTAAGTTTCCCAGGGAAAGCACACAGTAGCTGAGTCCGATCCCCCAAATTCTTGCGCATCTGACATCTCCATGCTTTTCAGAGAGGGCTCCTTCCAACCCGATGTTTGTCTGTATGAAAATGGTTAGTGTTTTCTCAAAGCCTGACGTGGGGGTGGGGGGTAGTGTCAGCAGCATCAGGGGCCCTTGGCTGGCAGAATCAACAAGACCAACGCATGCATTTGAAAATAAACCAAATCCTCCCGTGGGTCTTGGCTCTGACCAAGGGGAAGAAAGGAGGCGCCCCTTCATCAGAAGGGTATCAAGAGTATTATCACCCAAAGGGATTGTGTCGGTCACAATTAGGCTTGTTTTCCCTCTGTTCAGATGTTCTCCGTTACCGAATCCATCGTTGGTAAGCACATGCCTAATGGCTTCCGAAGTAGAGGCTACAACCGGGCGTGAAGCATGATGCGCTGAACACGGAGGCTTTGCTGCTGGGACTAGTACGCGATGTCTTACAAAGCAAGACCCCGTCTCGTTTTGTAAATGCTTTCCCACTTGATAGGGTGAGGCCCACATTGAAGCCTGTAGATTTGGCCCCCAGCAAAGGGATTAGGGGTACAGGCTTAATCTCTCTCTCTCTCTCTCTCTCTCTCTCTCTCTCTCTCTCTCTCTCTCTCTCTCATTGTGATCTGAACCCTTGCCATGAGCCCTTAAGTGCAAGCAAGGCCGGCATATTATTCTACCTAGAAGCCCAGGAAGATGGGTCCTGGGCAGCTTGCAGGCTAGATTTCATGGGGCTCAAAGTCTGGAGGAATCAGCTTGCCTTTACGTTGTTGTGTGTTGTGCTACAAATAAAGGAGACACCCGTGGGATTCTCACTCACTCACCTACCATCTACCGGGGCCAGAAACCACTGGACCTGAAAATTATGTTCATAGCACCTTCAGCTATGGGCACGAAGGGGGAAAAAAAGGCCTTTTCCTTCTTCAATCGAGAGGGCAGACAGGCTACATGCATTTGAAATTGGTTATAAACACCAGACCCACCAGCTACAATTTAGGAGGTCTTATGTGCAATCTGCCCGGGCCCAGGTATTTTAATGCTATGTTTCAGGGAAGTAAGGGCCAGCTGGCAGCTGACCGACCATGCTCAGGGGTCAGTTCTAAACAGCACTGTTTGGGAAAAGCTCAATCTAAAACAGACAGCTCTGGATGTGTTTAGGTTTTGCTTTCTTTCCACTTTTAAATATTAAAAATTGACTCCAGCTGTGGGGCAGAAAGTAACGCCTAACCTATAAAAACATTGACAAATAAATCACAATGCAATTTGCCGCGCATTTTTGTGAGGTCTAAACACCAGTTCTTGAAAGGAATTTTCCATTAT